TGGGCAGTCAAACCGTTTGAACCATTCTACAGTTTTGTGTTTTTTTTTTTTTTTTGTCAGAACGGTTGTCCGTTCAGTTCGAACAGTCGGACCGTTCGACTTGACATGCATAGTTTTATTTTCTATGTTTCCCGTAATTTATATATATTTACCCACCATCTCTAGTCACCACCACCCATGGCTACAATTGATTTGGTTGCTTGTCTGGATGATGATAAGGAATGAGTGAAGGCATTTGCATCAGAGTGGCTATCTTTCGTTTCAGAGAGAGAGAGTGAAGAGATCTTAGCTCTTGAGCAAGTGCTTTGACTTGTTTTTATCTCAATACCACCACTTATTCTTGTGTCTTGTTGGTTTCTTGTTCTATGATGTGAATCACTTGTCTCTTTTAAGAGACATAGTTCAAAGAAGGGATCAAACTTGTGTTTTGAAATCAACTAACATAAGTCAAATAAACAATTCACATTCAAAAAAGCTATAATGAAAAGAACTTAAGTCAATATAGGAAGAATGGAAATTCTTCATTGAATAATCGCAAGAAAATTCAAAGTCCATTGCTTTACTAACAATTGTCTACTCCTTATATATATTACGATTACACCTTTATGCCTCCTACAAGAAAGTATCATAATCTAAGTCAAGGGTGTTCATGGTTTAATTCAGAGCAGTTTGGAGAAGATTCCAAACCACACCAATAAATTATGAATTAAGAAATTTATAGACCAAACCAAATTGTTTTGGCATGAAAACTAAACTATTTTATTACCGTTTGATACAGTTTCTAATATGGTTTAAGGACTTTGAGCCATTCTAAAATTGGTCATTGATGCCAATTTGGTGAATGCATGTTAAGATGTGTTGGTGGCGTCATCCCTTCTTTTCTTGTGTCTTATAATGCTTTAAAATTTATTAGCTTCCTTTTGTATGCATCATGATCCGTATGAAAAACTTAGATCCACCATAAACCTAGATGTTTAGTCTGTTAATCTAGATTCCTTTAGGCTATGTTTGGTTTGAAAGAAAAGGTAGGGAAAGGAAGATAAAGATATCAAAATCTATACAAAATTTGTAAAGATTTCCTTGCCTTTCCTTTCCTTTCCCTACTTTTTCCTTCAAACCAAACATAGCCTTAGATATGATTAATATTTACTTGTACATAAAGAGCATTCAAAGAGTGTCTTCTTCCTCAAGCCTTGTGTCTTGTTGACGTGTTGTCTTTTGTTGGGACCACAGCCCGTAACACAGCTACCTGAATTCAGCTAATCTCAAGAGCCATGTAGATTGGTCAGAGACAAAATCATAGGCAGTGGGCTGGGCTACTTATCATTACCCATCCCACTGTGGATGATTTAATTTGTCTCCAGTCCATCCGGTTCCACAAGAGAGAAACATAAAATGTTGGTTGCATAAAACTTGGGTCAAACAGGGGAGGGATGCCAGATGAATTTAGGATAGATGTGACCATATGATTTAGTAGGAAGGGCAGAGGTTAGTAGGAGATCGTAATGAACTTAACAAGTAGACCTATTCATGGGCTGTGTTCGGGTTTAGCTTTGGTCAAAATTTAAATGGATTTAATTCGAAGTTTAAGTCTAAAATTAATGTTTTAAAAAATAATCCGGAATCGGAATCGTTCTAACCACCGGTTTCTAAGTTGATAGTTTGACTGTTCGATTCAAACAAAAGGTTTGTTTTAATAAAAAATTAAGATAAAAATGATCAAAAACCATTAAATAGGTCAAATGGTTTGACCACTTGAACCAACAAATCATTGACTGATTCAATAATTTTTAGCCAAAAACTGGGTTTGAATAAAATGGAACAGGTTTTTTAGACGATTCTCAGACTAAACAGTCCGACCATCCGTATCAACGGCTGCTCAAAAACCATGCTTAAAACAGTGTAAAACAAAGCCTAAAAACCCAGCCCTCAATTTGGCCTATTATTTTTTGATGAACATATTGACATTGGCAACTTTGACTCAGGAGAAATGTAGCTTTAAAGTCTCAGCATTTAACTAAAAACCCAGGGGTGTATAAGTAATTACATAAACAGCCTTACAGGTCTCAGCACATCTTCCACATCTTCTCTCCACCCATGAACCATTTGACCTTTCTAATATTGTTCTAAAATAAAGTGTACTTTAAAGTGTAGGGATTTTTATTTCCCTTTTCTTTGTCATGTTCTGTTAGCCTTTTAATGTCAGTTGTATGTTAGCTGTCACTTGTCAGTTGTATGTTAGCTGTCAGTTGTCACAATGATGCAAATTTGCTTTGGGTCAATCCGTTGAGCATGGATGGTTTAGTTTAATTCCAAACAAAATGTGGAACCTATCCAGTAGGGATCGGTTTGAGAATTTTGAAACGGGAATCTACCCTATCAGCCTCTGTTACATGGTCAATTTTGGCTTTGATGATTTTAGGGTTTTTCTTTGAAATTTGTGCTTTTTTTACTCTTAAATAAAATGAAATTTGTTTTTTTAAAAACTTGATTTTTATAACAATAATAATAATAACAATAATATGGTTCAAAATTTATCATTATAATTTAAATTTTTTAAATATTACCTTTTTTTGGTGAATTAAATATTATAGCCAAATATTAAATGCTTAGTATTTTTTTTTTCACATGACATGTATGGGAATATATAGTGGCATGCTTCCCACTTTATAACCTTATCTCTTCATCAGAAGCTGATGTGTAATCGTTTCAACTATGAAAAATAAAAAAGCTAGAATGAAGTTAACTTGTTTATAATTAAATGAAGTTGACTTTTTTATTGGTATTATTATAATTAAATGAAGTTGCGCTTTTATTCACATTCTTATTCGAATGTTGCAAGCGATTATCTTTTCTACTCCTGAATCCTGATTGTTGCAAGCGATTATCTTTTCTAGTCCTCAGCAGTTCTCTCTCTCCTCCCCAACTCTATAAACTGTTTGCTCATGTCTAACTTTTTTTTTCTTATTATTATAGATATACTGATCGATTCTCTCCCACATTAATTGTCAAAGGATTTGTATCCTCTGAGTCTGAGGTATGTATTTGTTTTATCGCCTCTTTAATTTGTAATGTATGGTTATGTAATGGTAGGATATCTACCATGCCTTGATTTTTTTTTTCTTCCTTTTCTATTGTACACTGATCTCCAAAATCCTACTATAACAGTACACTCAATAGAGATTTCAAGAATTAAGTTCCCATTAAACTAGACACTTGGCAACATTAGATTCTCATTTAGTATAGAATTTTAGCATTATATAAGACCATAAGATTTTTGCCTTCTTCATGAGACAGTATAAAGCACGTATATTAGAGAATCTATTATGTCAGGAGATCAACAATGAAAGCCATCTTTTTTTTTTGAGATGATTAATAGAAGAGTCTAGAAAGAGAGGAAGGGATTGTTTGGAATTTTTCAAGTTGCATTAATTCGTTTTTAACTTAACTCTTACTTTTGGTTGGATTATGATCAATTTTTGAAAGCATAGGTTAATTCGTTTTTACATGCTTATGTTAAATATGATTTCTGTACTAATTTCTCCCTTCAAACTGTAAATCGCTTTATACTATCTATGTTCCATTCCCTCTTAAAATTCTTATTGAAAATGATAATATTTAAACTTAATAAAGAGGATTTAATTATTTATTTATTTGGTTATACATATTAGATATTATAGGGGAATATGGGTGGGCCAAAGTAGAGTATATGCGAGGATCACTAGCTATACCATGGAGAGCATGCGCCTCCTATTTGGAGGGGTGTCAACAAGGTCATCAGTTAAACTTAGGTTGTGTTTGTTTCCACTTGAAGCATTTTGGGTTGATCAATTCAAATTTGCATATACAACTACTATATGAGGCTGTTTATGCTTAAAACATGAATAGTCAATAATGCATGTGAGTAAAGTTGTTAGTAGGAATGACAAATTGGTGTGTTGTTCCAAGGGATGAAGTCTAATCATTCCATTATAGCTGAAGTGACGAATACGTGATTGATATGTGATTTGACAACACATATCTCTGACCAATTTGTATAAGGGTATCAAACACAACCAAGACTTAATTGATGATTCTTTTGTTAATTAAATTAGTTCTAATATTTACTTTTAGGAAAATTAAAAATGTATTAATATGATACCAAATTGATTTCATGCATGGTTTTAAAAAATGACACAGAAATGGAACCGTTTTGGCCACCGGTTTTTGGGTCGACCGTTCGACCATCTAGTTCGAATAAATGGTCCATTATGACAATAAAAATTTAAAAAATAAAAAAAAATATATCAAAAACCATTGAATGGGTTAACGGTTCAACCGCCTGGGTCAATGGGTCATTGACTAATTCAACGGTTTTTGGCTAGGGACCAGGTTTGGGGTAAAACGGAACCAATTGCCTGGATGATTCCTGGGCCAAACATTATGACCGTCTAGGTCTTTGGTGATTTGAAAACCATGATTTCATGTGAGTTTTGAGAGGTACACCCTACATGTGAGCACCTATTAAAACTCTCCCATGAGTTTTGATAAAAACCATAGCTAATTGATTATTACTTTATTGTCAATAAGTTATTCGGGAATCATAAGAAAGCTAGTGTATATATATATATTGCCTGGATGATTCCTAGGCCAAACGTTATGACCGTCTAGGTCAATGGTGATTCGAAAACCATGATTTCAGGTGAGTTTTGAGAGGTACACCCTACATGTGAGCACCTATTAAAACTCTCCCGTGAGTTTTGATAAAAAAACATAGCTAATTGATTATTACTTTATTGTCAATAAGTTATTCGGGAATCATAGGCAAGCTAGTATATATATATATATATGTGAAAAGCCAAATTTCTACTTATAAGCCCCTGATTATACAAAGAGAAAGAAGTAGATATCAAGAGAAAGATACCTATCAAAAAAAGAAAAAAAAAAGGTGAAAGATAGGCTAGCGGGTGATGGTTAGCTAAACATTATTAACACTATGTACAATGCTTTCCTCTATGCAGGATGAATTTGAATTGGGCGCCTCTAGATGCTAGCGAACCTGAATATAAAAGTGAAGATAGGTATGAGGATCCACTTAGAAGAGAAAGAATTTTGATGTTGCATTCATACTTTTATATATGACCCTTTACTTCTTTGCTTGAAAAAGGGTACACAGGCCATTTTATTACAGCTTTAATTCCAATTTTTATGGTTATTAAAATGCCCATAATTATGTATTTAATCCATCTCTAATAGTAAGATTAGAAATGTAACTTCAATTATTACTTCCCATCTCAATTAATCCCTCTCATTAAATCTTATACTTAAACTATTTAGCCCATAATTGAGTAAATATTTTTAACAATATAAACCCATATATTTTAAAATTGACTCAAAAACAAAACCATTTTTAATTCAAGTGGTGGCTAAGAATTTCTAATAATAATTTTATTAATCAGATTAAAAAAAAGGTGTAATAAACACAAATTACTTTTATTGGTAATGGAAATGAAATACATAATTTAGAATTGAAAAAAAAATGAAATTATTTTACCATTTGGAAAAGACCAATAGTTCAAATTTTGGGTCAAACATGTTAACCCTTAATGTCATAAATAAATAATAAAACTAAATAAAATATAAAAATACAAAAATGAAAAAGATACATAAATTTTGCAAACAAATACATTTAAGAAGATGTATAATGTCATATATTTATCATATTAAACAAAAAGTAAGCTTGACATATTAGAATTATTTTTACACACAAAATATTAAAAATTTATAGAAAAAATTGAACACATGTATAATTCTATATTTACACTACTATAAAAAATATGAATAAGATTGTGAAACTTTATTTTTAAAATACTCATTTTTTTAATTTAGTCCCTATTTAATTATGTGGTTTAAATTGTAAATTGAGTTACTACTTTTCACCCCATTCAATTCCCTCTATTTAAAGCCTACATTTTTTCATAAATAAACAAAAAAAAAGATACACCAAAAAGATTAAATATTACAAAAAGAATAATCTAGCCAAACAAGTAGGCATATCAATGATTCTTGAAATTGTGAAATTTGACCCAATTATCACATATTTGGATGAGGTGTTATGCAATCATATTTGAATTTTCAATCTGCATCCAATTAATAATAAAAAACAAAAAAAAAAAACATAAAACATATAAAAAAATTTGGATACATTATTACTATTAAAAGTGTGAATGAGTGTGGAATTTTTGTTTTACTATAACTTTAATTTTTTAATTTGGTTGCTCTTTAATTATAAGGAAAAAAATGCAAAATAAATAATCACTTTTCTCCTCATTCAAATCCCTATCATCAAGTCTTTAAGGTATTAACTCCTATTTACATTCACTGAATCCTATTCTTGACTAGAACACCCTTATTTTTTTAATTTGATCTGTCTATAATTGTGATGGCACAAAATGTAATTTAAACTATTGCATTTATTCTCATTCAATCCACTTTCATTAAGTCTTACATTTAGGGTATTAACTTTTATTCTTTCATTTTCCTATTTAATTAACTATATTAAAGAAAAATATGTGTGATAAATAATAATCCCATTGTTTTTATCGATGATAAAAATAAAATAAAAATTTAAAATCAATGCAAAAAATAGAGTTGTTTTCTTGGATTGTAAGTCAACAATTCAACATTTTGGGTCAAATGTGTAAAACCTTGATGTCATAATTAAATAATAATAATAATAATAATAATAATAATAATTAAACAAGATGAAAACACACAAAAGTATAAAAAATAAAAAAAAAATTGTCGACAAATTTTGGAAACATATTATTTTCTATCATCATCATCATAAAAAATTTCCATTTGCAAAGCACATGCACACTTACATAAATGATAGTTAGACCATTGTAATCTATCACTATATACTAATGTCACTAGACCTCTCCTTTTTCCCTTTCATTCTCCTTGAGTGGCCAATCCTTCCTTTCTTCCCCCTTCCAAGCTTTGTCTTTGGTTTTACATCAGCAACCCTCTTCTATACTAATTTTCTCCATTTTTTTCTCCAACTCTTCCACTTCTCTCTCTCTCTCTCCCCCTCCCTCCCTCCCTTCCCACCTTAGAGGTCCTCTTTTATCTCATTTACCCCCTAAAATTTTCTCCTTATTTTATTCTTCTTCTCATATATCCACTTCTTCTTCTTCTTTGTATTTTTCTCTAACAAATAACAACACAATCTCCCATCTCTCTCTCTCTCTCCACCCCCCCCCCCCAATTCCACATCACAGACAAACCTAATCTTCTAAAAACCAACCAAGAGGCTAGATTGTAACAGGTTAGATTGTAACACATCAACATATTATATATATCAACTACACCATAAGAATAACCCAATTCTTTATAAAACCCAACTATTTGATATAGCATTAGCCACACCAATCACCTATAAGAGTAAGCCCACTGTTGAACACACCTTCAAGTTCTTCAAATGAACTTTACAATGCAACTCAAGAATCCCTAGTGGATTAGATTTGCAAATAGACCTCAATCTATTCTTAGACCAAAATACAAGAAATAAGGCTGAAGACTTATTTTCATATATCTTTTGATAATATGTTTCTTTGTAATTACATTCCTATCCATTTATCTTATTTGTATTTGGACACCTATCTAATAGGTGTGCAAATGGAGTAGATCATGATCTAATCTGATCCAAAGTCTAATCCTATTTTGTCGGATTCAGATATCCTCATTTCAGATTTTCAGATCAGATTGGATAATAGGATCCAATTAAAAATTGAATCAAAATTGGATCACCCCCTACCCGATCCGAAAGGATCCAATTTGATAATATATATATATATATATATAATTGCATTTTTTGTTTTTCTTTATTTAAACTGTTATGTCTTATTTTTCTTTTAATAATTTATTATCTTTTTAAAAATTAAATCAACTCGAATCCAATTCAGATATTCAACATCCTGTTGGATTTGAATTCAAATCAATATTTATGAGATGCGATCGGATCTACAACATATTATATCAGATTTGGATTTACCCTACTTCCACTTTGATCAAATCCATTTTTATCCCTACTATCTAAGGACATACTTGTAATTTCATACACATAATATAAGTTCTAGTTTCTATGTGTGAATAGTAACTCACCCATTCATTTGAAAATTTCCTTTTCTATTCTTCTCCTCCTCTGCTCCTCTTCTATTGGGGATGGTAATTTCTACCCTACCTAGTGGTACTCACCCCAATGGGTTGGGCCGGGTTTTTTCTTTTTTTTTTTTGTTGAAGGATAGATTTTGGGGCGGAATGGGTATATATTAGGCTAAACCAACCTTCATTGAGTCGCATATTGTTGGAAAGCATATGAAATTTATGTATTAGGTGCTGAATTTAATAATATTTTAAATTTTTATGTGAAGGACAATGGATGGTTTATGTGCTTTTATATATATATATATATATATATATATATATATATATATATAACAACAAATAATAGGAAATTAGATGCGTATTCTAAACCAAACCAACCCTGCCCTTGTATGCGGGGAGGATAGGGTCAAGGAGGGTTTTGCATTTTCATGTGCGAGAAGGGTTTGATTCTCAAAATCAAACCAGCTATGGGTTTTGGGATAGGTACAAGTTGGGAGGTTGAGGGAAGCGAGTAGGGGCTATAATTTACAAAACCCTCCCTGAAACTGCCTCATCGCCACCTTTATCTTCCATTCTTTGCTCTTCTTTCTCCCTTCAATCTCAATATTCATTTCATAGTTTCACAAGTTGGTATTAGAGTGTGAAGGTTCAAAGACACCTTACTATTATTAGATAAATTTTGGAATGCAACTTGTGGGAATTTGAAGGCATTTGGATATTTTTCTACATTTTTTAAAACTAAAATAGGTGTAAAGTACAAATATGAATTTTTAGGCTTGTTTGGACGTCTATAGTCTCTTCAATCTTTGACACCTATGCCCTTTGGCTCATTTCACATTTCTATAATGATAGGAAGTGGCTTCACATTTTTTGAGCCCTAGAATTTTTTTGAGAATTTTTATTTCCCACTTTTTTGCCAACTTATGTTTAATCCCATATTTACTACTAATAAACTGAGAATATACTCTATTGTTTTTGGTTTATGATTGCCCAACTCATATTAGGTGCTTTGGATTGATGAGAAAGGGATATTGAAGTAGGGTTTATTCTTTCTAATAAGTTTTGAAATATAGGCATTACCAAGAATACTTAGGTTCCTTCTAGTGTTCTTCCTAGAAGTGTTGATATCTCTAGTGGAATTATAACCATTGTAAAACTTCATGGGACTAACTTTCTAGGGTGGTCTCAATCCACTAAGTTTACTATTAGAGGAAGAGGTAAGTTGAGATTATCTTGGAGACCCAAAGTATTCCAAGTGGGAGCAAAACATTTTAATGGCAATGTCTTAGCTGGTATATGCTCTATGCAGCCACACACATAGCCCACAATTACATGTTCCTCTCCACTACTGAAGACATTTATGATAGGGTAATAGCCATCTATTTCTAGGCCAAGAATACTACTAAAGTTTATCAACTCCAAAGAAAAGCTTGTAATATGTGTTAGGGGTAGAGGATTGTATTTATGCATTTCTCTTCTTTATAATCACTTTGGAAAGAAATCGACCACTTGGAGGCCCTGCAATGGAAGGATCCTAAGGATGGTGAGCAATAATGAAATATATTGTCTTTGATTTCCTAGTGGGATTAAATGTAGAGATAGACTTCACCAAACAAAGCATCCTTTGTTGTTGAATACACTACCATTAGTTTGTCTAAATGGAGGTGGAGTATAGGCAAATATGTTGTCAATGAGAAGATCGATGAAGTGGTGTGTGAATATTGTAAAATGCCCAAACACTCCATGGAAAGATATTGGAAGCTAAACCCTTATTTGAGACCTAAAAGTTTTAAAACAAGGAAGAAGGATAATGCTGCTTTGGTTACTACTAGTGGTAATAGTCATCTCCTTGGTGTTCAGATTTCTCCACATGACACTTATGATGTGATGGACAAAACTCAAGAATCTTTTGATTCATTTGGAGAAAAGTGGGTGGGTCATCTACTTCTACTAGTTCTAGTAATCCTTCAAATGATTTTACTAAAATAGATGCTAGGGGTGTGTTGAGTGTTGGGTGGCTTGAGCTCAACTTGATTTGAGTCAATCATAAATAAATTTTTATAAAAAATTATAAATAAATTAATATTTAAAATATTATAAGGGAAAAATATATTAGAAAACTTGATTATATATTAAAAATCATAAATAAATCAATATTATGAAATATAAATAAAAAATATTATGAAACTCAATTATAAATTTATTTGTTTGTATAATAAATAAATTAATATAAAAAGTAATATTTATTTATATTGCAAATAAAAATATATTAAAAATTATTATTTTATTAGAAGCTTGATTAGGCTTGTGAGGTCCGAGCTATTCAAGTCAGGTATTACGAAGCTCGAACTTGGCTCGACTAACTACTCGACTCGAGTCAAGCTTGATTCAACTTGATAATCTTCGAGCCAAGTTTGAGGATTTAGCAAGTCAAGTGCGAGTAACTTGCATGTTATCTTAGCTCACTCACACCCTTAACAGGTACTGCACTTTCATTTCATCCTTCCACCAATAGCTCCTTGATTACTGATTGTGGAATTAGTACAAACATGACAATATGCCTTCATATTTCACCTCATATAAATTAGCTTTAGGGAATGGTAAGATTACTATTGCTAGTGGATTTTGGAGTTTAATATCATGTTTAACTGAAGTCAAGCTTATCCATAATCTTTCCTTGATCTCTATTCTTTATGTACCTCAACTGCTTAGAAACCTTTTGTCTATTATCTCCCTTACAAAATCTCATTGTTGTTTTGTAATCTTCTTTATTTCTCATTATGTTTCTTAAGAATTGAACATGGGGACAATGATTAATTAGAGGTGGACATAGAAGTTGATGGAGTTTTTTTTTTATTAGGCTTCCTAGTGAAAGGTTACTGTGCGAGATATAATTTTGCCGAAATGAAAAATTGAGTCTTTTAAAGTTGTGGCATTACCGTCTTGGACTTTGTGTCTTATAGTTCCATAAACTTTTTGTTTTCTAATTTTGTTAGCCAGTGCCTAATTTAATTTCATAATGTTAAGTTTATCATCTATCAAAGCAATGTAAAAGTAAAACCACATATTTTGCTAGTAATAATAGAAGTAATATTACTTCCCATTTGATATATACTGATGTCTATGGCTCATATTCTATTTCTTGTATGGATGGATAGAAGTATTTTATTCTTTTCATTAATGACTACTCTCAATACACTTACTTATATATGATGAAGTGTAAGGATGATGTCCCTTTAATTGTTTTAGAACATTTTTAATATGGTGGAAACACAATTTGAGAAGATGACAAAGATAATAAGAACTAACAATGCTAAAAAGTATTTTAAAAAGCATTTATGAGATTTTCTCTAAGAGAATGGAGTAATTCATCAACGCTCATGTACTCATACTCCCCAATAGAATAGAGTTGCAAATAGAAAAAAAAAATAGACATGTGGTTGAACTTGCTAAAGGTTTATTATTCCAAATGTATGTTTTGATTCATCTCTAGGGAGATGTAGTTGAAACAATTGTATACCTTATTAACAGACTCCCTTCAAGAATTCTTCATCTTAAATGTTCTCACTAGATCCTTTCTCAAATGGTCTAACCTTTTGTCTTCCTAGTCTTTGGTTGCATTTGCTTTGTTCATGGTATGAGTCCCTAGTAGCTTAAGTTTGATCCTAAGCTCATAAGGTGTATTTTTCTCAATTATTCCTCCATTTAATTAGAAAGGCTATAGATATTTTGACCTCCATTTTGGTAGGAAATATTTTTCAAGGGTGTTAGCTTTCATGATTTTATACCTTTCTTTTAATCATCCCATCCTTCCTTCAAGGGAGTGTTAGTGAAGATCAGGCTCCTTTTAATTTTTCTATTCCAATCTCTATGGATACTCCTGGGCCATCTTCTAACCTTTTTACTTGTAGTAGAATTGTTCAATCTCCTCCTCTTCTTCTTGTACCTTTACCTCAATTTTAGCAGTAGTGTTTTATTAGGCAAAGTAAGAGAGCAGTTGCTCTTGAGAATGAATGTCCACCACAATCTAATATCTCACATTCAAGTAAACCTAATTAAACATGAAACCTTTGTTGATTCTAAGCTCCTTATTACTTCTACTACTAAACCTAATATCTTGAACTCTAACCTTGACCTTCCTATTACTTTCTATAAAAGAAAAACAAAATGCAGCAACCGTCCTATTATTAACTATGCTTCTTATGATACTCTATATATCACCATATGCTTACATCTCTACAACTTCTTTTGTTTTTATCCTCACAATGTTACAAAGGCAATGTAGTTCCCTTAATGGTTGATGCTATGAACCAAGAGATGGAGGCTCTCAAATAAGAACCAAACATTGGAGATTGTTCCTCTTCTTAAGGCTACATTTGGTTTATGGGATGATTTTGGTGGGATGGGATGGAATAAGAAAGGGAACATGAAGGGAAAATTTTCACATTCCATTGTTTTGTTTCAACAAGGAAAATAGTGGTAAAATCAACCCTAAAAACAATTATTAGGTAATTAGTAATATTTTGTTATTTTATATTTTACTATTAATAAAATTTTAATTATTAATTAATTTTATAATTAAGTATTTAATTAATTAATATTGATAATTATTTAATTAATTATTAGTTAAGAATTGATATTTTTGAAGGTCGGTGAGAAGGACTTAACAACTTCAAAGGCTCCTTGTACTATGGGGAAGGATGACAGTTTCAAGAAAGAAGCAAAACCTTGGCAACACAAGGAAGGTAGTGTGACGGCAAAGAAAATTTTTGAGAAGAACACAGTCTTGGAGCTTGAAAGGTTGAATGAGAAGAATGAAATTAGAAAGATGGGTAAGGGCCTTCCTAATGCAGTTAAAAAAATTTGGGCATAAAAAACACAACAGACCTATGCCAATTTTGAAAGGGGTCTATTTGGGGTTGGTATCAATAAGAGGGTCAAGAAGGTAAAAAGAAGGGATAATAGCATATAAGGGTAACTTTTGGGCCCTAATATTAGTAAAAATAATATTTTTAAAAAAATTTTAAAAATAGGGTAACTTTTGAAAAATAATATCAATAAAGGGCAGAATCACTATTCATCTTCTTCATCTTGCAGTCTAATCGCCAGCACCGCCGTCCACCGCCGCCCGCCGCCGCCTCCGGCAATGCCTCCGCCTATCTTTGCCCACCTCCGCCTCCACCTCCAGCAACGTTGCCGGAGGTGGGCGGAGACAGAGGTGGTGGCAGCAGCACTAGTGGTTATTTCTCTGCCCAACGCCGCCACCTCCGCCCACCTCCGCCTCCAACAATATTGCCGGAGGTGGGGTGGAGATAGAGGCGGCGGCGGCACTGGTGGGTGGAGGTGGCAGCGTTGGGCAGAGAAATAACCACCAGCACCGCCGCTGCCACCTCTGCCTCTGCCCACCTCCGGCAATGTTGCCGGAGGCGGTGGCGAGCGGCGGCACTGGTGAATAGACTGCAAGAGAAAGAAAATGAATAGTGATTCTGCCTTTTATTGATATTATTTTTCAAAAGTTATCTTTTTTTAAAATATTACTTTTACTAATATTAGGGCCCAAAAGTTGCCCTTATATGCTATTATCCCTAAAAAGAATTGTAAAGGAAAAACAAGAGAATCCTAACACGGCTGTTGTTGGTTTTGGGTGATTGAGTTTTGTTCCTTTCTGGGTTGAAGATTAAGTCTGGGTGGTCTTAATGAAAACTATCACTTAAAAACCATTTTAGTGAGAATTCAAACTTAATCTAATCTCTGTTTGTGATAGGAAGAAGGCTAAACAAGTAGAGGAGATATCCAGAAGGCCCAAACATTACCTTTTAAGGCTTTATTCCAGTCCAATTAATATCCTGCACCAAAATATAGGTGATGTAAAACAATTAAAGTGCTAAAAGATAACACAAGCAGAATGAAGGAAATGAAAAAATACCTAAGCCAATGGTTGAGTCCGGGCAATGTTGTAAATCAAGTTTTACTACTCATGAGTCAAGACAAGCTATTTTACAAGCTCATCTCAGAAGCCCCCCACTCCATCCTTCCGTATTAAGCAAATGGACATTCAATGCTTAGCTCTCTTTTACTTTCTCAACAACTTAATTTCAAGTCATTTTTAATTCAAATGTTCTATATATGCTTAGAAAGCCTATTTTATTGCTATTTCGATCCGCTATTTTAATTAAATTTTAATGTTGTTAAAACTCCTAAACATCCTATTAAATAAGCCTAGAAAATGTTGATGCTCATTAACCACAAATTTGATCATCCCAGTTCATCCAAAGTGTAGATCTCATTCTATTATTCTATTGTAGAAATAGATGGCGTCGACATTTCATCAGGGTGGCGTCAATATTCCATCAGGGTTCTGAAAGTAATGATGATAACAGAAATTATGAAACCCCATTAGCTCTGATTGAAGAATACAGAAGAAACTCTGAGGATAAGCATCATGCTTCTGAAAGTAATGGTGATGCCAGCGAAAAAACCCCATTACTTCTGATGGAAAAACACAGAGAAAACTTCAAGGACGAGGACGGGAATCATCCGGAGTTGTTTGCTTCTATCAAACAGAAGCTATGTCTTACAAGTGTTGATAGTTCTATATATGCAGCCTCTGCTATCATTATCTACAGAATACCGAAGGTACTTCACGAAATCAATAAGAAGGTTTATGTCCCTCAGACAGTTGCAATTGGCCCCTTCCATTATAGCAGGTCAAGTCTCCAAGGTATAGAAGAATTTAAACAACTATATCTTAAAGCTCTTTTCCATCGTACTGCCAACTGGGAAATAGCGATGCATGAGTGCATCGTTCTCTTGAAGAAAGAAGAAGAAACTGCACGAAAGTGCTACTCCGAACCCATAAAGCTCCTTACAAATGAGTTTGTAACAATGATGTTAGTAGATGGTTGTTTCGTTCTCGAGTTGTTTTATAGGTACTATGAGAAGATGCAACAGCAGAAGCAACAACAACATCCTAGTACCACCACCAACGATGACGACCAGGATCCAATGTTCAAGCAAAATTGGATGCTCCCAAAAATATTATACGACATGCTATTACTTGAAAACCAACTTCCCTTCTTTATCCTCGAGTTATTGTTTCAGAAAACAATTGCCTGCATCTCAGAAGTTTCCCTCGAGAAACTTGTACACAACTTCTTTGAAAACATACTTCCAACAGGAACGTGGATCCAAGACATTGATAGCTTTGAAGGCAAGCATATACTCCACCTATTACGCCAATTTATGTGTCGTCCATCGGGATTGAAAAACATAGAAACAACTCGAGAGCCCAAGTTAACATATTCTGTGACAGAACTCAGAGAAGCTGGAGTCAAGTTCAAGAAGAAGGAGAATGCCAATAGCTTCTTAGATATAACCTTCACAAATGGTATATTAGAAATCCCAAATTTAGTTGTTCAAGGCTACACCGAATGCCTATTTCGAAATTTGATCGCATTTGAGCAGTGTTACCATTTTTGTACTAGTCGTATCACATCTTATGCCTTCTTCATGGATAGCCTCATCAACATTCCTGAGGATGTTCAGTATCTCAACAAGAAAGGAATAATCACGAATGTCATGAGCAGCCATGAAGAAGTATCGGTTCTGTTCAACAATATTAGAAAAGGAGCTTTCATCCATAACTTCTACTATGCCGATCTTTGCAGGCAGGTTAATGAACATTTTGAAAATCGTTGGAATGTCTGGAGAGCAATTTTCCGACGCAAACATTTTCAAAATCCATTCACGGTTGTCTCACTTATTGCTGCAGCTTTACTTCTTCTTCTCACTTTTACAGGGACCTTGTTTGCTATGCTCTCTTACTTTATCCATAAATCTTGACCTGTGGCTTCTTTGATTGAATAGCACCAGCTGCGTGTGTGTTTCCATGAATATTTAAAAGTCGATGATCTTCCCTTTCAGCGGTGGAAAGGCAAATCCATTACTGTAGGTTGAAGATTGAAATTACTTTGTATCGTTTCATTTTGTCCTTTGTGTGATTTCATTTTGATTGTGTATTTTGTTTCTGTCCAAAGATACTCCAATAAAGTACTTTCGTATTTTCCTTGTCACCTCTAATTAATCTTGTGACCACCGTGTAATCACTAATCAGTGGAGCAACTTTGGCCAGATTGGGTCTGGTTGAGGTCAACCCAAGCCCAATTTGAGGCAAAGGTAGTATACTTCTACCTTAATCCAACCCTTAATCTGATGAGTATGGGTTGTGTTGGGTCAGGTTAGTCCTGTAAATTCATGACAAAAACTTCAACACAGTTTTTGCGACGACATTTTTTTTTTGGTCTAATTAAGAATAAAATAGCATAAACATTGACGCAGCGTGGAATCACTGGAAACCGGAGCTGGCTGTGCAAGCATCGGGCGATCGCTAGCTTCTAGCGAAGAACACCGAATTCTTTAGGAGAGAGAAAAGGTGGCGAAAACTCAAAGAAGAGAACTAGAAGAAACTTAGAAAATCTGAAGAATGAATTGATGAATAATTTTGGGAAAATAGCAGTATTTATAATACATTTGGAAATTGTAAAAGAACTAGGAAATAATAACTATGATAGATCTAAATATCTAATCTGATAGGGTCGAACTCTCCTTGGTTTGATCTCCACCGTCCGATCTCCCTAGATGCATGCATCTTGGATTATCTTGCTAATCTTGATGCTTCATGGAGTCTTTCTTGATAATCTTGGAAGAGTCTTGCATTATCTCGCTAATCTTGGAAGTGTCTTACTAATCTTGGATTCTTGGATCCCTTGCTTATCTTGAATTCTTGGAACTTAGTTAACTTATCCTTATCCTAGGAGTTGCCGCCCCTAGGGATGAGATGGGCCTTGTGATGGGCCTCCATCATTCTCCCCCACTTGGAGAGAACTCGACCCCAAGTCGTGACTAGGGTAGGCGAGTGTTATTTCCGGCA